TTCCGATTTCTTTAATATACTCTTACCAGGCGTTTGACCAGAATTAATATATGATATTGTATCATCTAATTGAACTTCTGGTGTTTTACCCATTTTACTTACTTTCATAGCTATAAGTGGACTCTTTATTCTTTTATCGTCGGAAAATTGCACTTTTTGTAACAAGCTTGTTCTAGAGCTTTCATGTCGAACAGGAGTCGACTTGCGATCGTAAGTAATGCCAAGGGACTTAGATTTTTTTGTACTACTTTGAATATTAGTATTATCAAAATTCGCAGATCTTTTACTATTTTTGGAAGGTGTAAAATATTTTATATTTGTATTCGTATCTTGCATCAAGTTGCTTGTTTTCACTTCCATCTTTTTTTTTCTGGCAGCCACAATTAATGATCGTAGCGAACTTGGCTTTGATGATATAGGTTGTTTTTTAATAGGCATTCGTTTTTTGGCAGCAGGTTTGGCAACAATGCATTCTTCCTCTAGCCATCCTCTGTTTCGACGTTGCTCTAATTTCTCAAATCGCGAGTCACAATCTCTGACTTCCATGTATGTCATATCCCAAAATCCTTGCAAATCTCTACATGTAACTAGTTTTTCTCCTTTACCAATTTCGCAGTCCTCTACTAAACCACGAAATCTTTCAAACTTTTTATTTATTAGTAAATTTGTCTGTCCTACTGCTTGATTTATTTCATACATAACATCATCTGGAATATCCTTTTCTAATTTGATGTCCAACCATGTTTTACAAAGTTCTCTAAGTCTCTCAGTTTCTTTATTCAATAGAAATTTGAAGTACTGTGCCGTGCGTACTTCTTCTTCCACAGATATATTTAAATTTTTCATTACAGTATCTTTGGTTGGAATTTCATCAGGGGATAAGCGACCAATGCCAAGCCGCTGCTGTTGTTCTTTTCTAGCATTCTTCTTGCCACGACTTAATGTGAGATATGGCGAAAATTGAATGAGGTCATTCGTAGTACAGTTTTCTTTAGCAGAAGATGTATCACTTGGGGTACTCTTTTGTGATGGTGTTTGCATATTGTCTGATAAAGGTTTATCTTGAAAAGAGTCTTGTATTGTCTGTTCTTTTAATGATGACCTTGTTGCAGTTCTGTTTAATTCATATGTAACATCATTTAGATTACAAATTGATTCATTTAATCTTTGTGATGATTTTTGTTTATTTGGTAATAACTTTGGACTTGCAGGAGTTTTCAACTTTACTGTAGTACCACTGGTATCAGGGATTTCTGCATATAATTTTTGAGATGATATATCTTTCTGTTCACTTATATCAACTGTCTTGCATTCTGTTAATTTGTTTTGTATAAAGAAATTTCCCTTCTCCTGTGGAGTTTCTTCTATTGGTACAAGACCAAATAGAGGCATGTTATGCAATCCAGATGGAGGTCTAAATTCGTGATTAGCAGGGGCAAATGATTTTTTATTTTTAGTATTAGATGTTGGCTTTTTGATATTCATAGGATATTTTGTTGACGTTGAAGCATTCTTTGTAGTAGCAGTTGATTGCTTAGCAGCAGATGCTGCTTTAGCTAATAATCGCTTCTCTGTAGCCTTTGTAATTCGTTTTTGAACATTATTTAATCGTGTTGCTTGCTTAGGTGTTTTCGCAACTGCAGTTGATGCATTGCTCCGAATCACAGGAGAACATAGAGAGTGATGAACAATACCAACTTTAAATGCAGGTTTTTTCGTAGTATTTTCCAGCTTCTTTTTCTTCTTGCGTTCTTCCTTCCATTTCATCAATTTTTTCATACGTGTATCCGTAATAGATGTAGCCTCTGCTAAAAATGATAGATTTTTGTTCTTGATTGATCGATTTAACATGACATGAATTAACATGAATATAGACCAATTATGAAAAAGAAGGATATATATCATTTGCATGTATACAAGATAAACAATTTTAAAATTAAACATCAATATTTTTTGATTTGATCTTCTATGTGAGTATAAACAAAAAAGAAATATATAAATATTGATACAAAAACTTCATTAAAAAGTTATAATAAAAATATTAAACATGGAAATAGCAAATTTATTGTTAATACAGAAAATTAATGTAAGAATAAATTAGTAATGTTTATTTGTTTAGTTATGTTTTTGATTGCAGTTTGTTAGTATTTATTAATGAAGAATTATAAAAATAAAAATGTATTATATAAAAGTTAATTTATGAGAAGAACTCGTCAAAAAGATTAATTTGGCATTCACACTAAACAAAAACAAAATAAACATGACATTTATAAATGTTAATTTCAATCTTTCTCAATGATATCAAGACGAAAGAGCTTATATCAGAAATAGGGAATGCCATTTTGAAATAGAAAATTACACAAACATATTTTCTTCTTTTTAATGTAATATGATGATAAAATATTTTTTAACTAATGTTTATATAACATTTTTTTCTTGTTTTTATTTATAAAACATACTGGCAAAATTTAATTATTTAATTTTCAGATACCTTTTATAAAAAGAAGCAACTATTTGAATTGCATATATATATATATAGGCATAAATAATATTTATTCATATATATTTATTTATAATTATTGGCATTATATATTTTCTCTCTCAATGTTACTTATTAAATAGTATCAAATTGTATTAGTAGTACCAAATAGTACTAAAGTCTATTAGCAAACTTAAAATTTATAAAGGCTATCAAACTTTATTCAGTTATATCAAATGTATACATAATTGTGACATAATTGTGTTCATTTTACGCTATTTAATAATTAAGTACCAATGATTAACCACCAATTATTCTCAACAATGTGTAAAATGAAATAAAAAGTAAAAAAAATAAAATAAAAATGTTAATAATAAAAATATCACATAAATGAAAATAAACAATATGAAAGACTGCTTCAAAAAGAACCGTTAGCTATTAGTTATCTAATCTCATTAATCTCATTGAAAGAATATCGTGTTTCATTAAACAATTAGAAGCCCTTAACTTACTGGAGAACGGGCTGGCGGGTACCGAGACATCTTGTAGTCTACGGTTGTTGTCGAATGCTCGTGTTCTGACTTCCCTACGAGATTCTACATGCTTATAAGCGCGTAGAATCCTATTATGATCCGTGTGGCCAAAACCTGGACGCGGATTCTTATACTGTTGCTTGAAATCCGACATTTCGTTATGGCTCAATACAACTCTCCAAATTCGCGTGTCTTCCTGTAACGGCAGTACAACTGAAAATCACTTCAAATTGATAGTTACAATGTTGAACGTCGAGGTAGCAACGTGCGGCGATTGCTATTGGTCAGCTCGAAATAGTGAAATCAGTCTTGCCAATTGATAGTTCAATTGATTGCCGTTCAAAAGCAAGATCGCGTTCAGAGTATAATATGGTTTGATTGACCAATCAGGGTAAAGAAATCTGGGCTTCTTTTGTTTTGATTGGTCAACCAAACGCTACTCGGCTCACAATTAAATTTTTAAACGCAATTATGAATATTCGCTTTTTTTCTGTGTTTCTCACGTTTCACATTCCCATTTAACATTCCCATGTGACGTGATGAAATATTTCTGTCCGTATAAATTAAATAATTGTGAATGTTCAAACTTAAGATTTCGTTGAAGTCTTCAACGAAAATGTCTCATATAATGAGTTTAAATAAAATAATCTTTCTGTATTTTATATTTCAAGTCAGATATATTACATCTGCCAAATATCTGAACGTATAACAAAAGTAGTAATCTCATCGATGCAGATAATTCAAAACGAATAAGCTTTTCCTTTGTCAAACTAATTACAAATAATTCTATCGGATTTTTTAAAATAATAAAATTTATTTTTATCAATAAAAGAAAAAAATCTCGTACAGTTTTAAATTTTACAGAAGCGATTATAATATAATATTATAGATTAGACAAATTGAACGCAATTCAGTTATATGAAAAGAAATTAATACCAATAATTTTTTTATCCAGCCACTTTAAAAGAATATTAGAAATAAAAATGCATAATTAAGGGGGAAGAGAGATATAAAGCTAAATAAAATAAAATAATTTTCTAACATGTAATAAAACTGTTTCTTTTTCACACAGTTTGTTTTATTACACATAGCACACATAAACAGGGTGTCCCAAACCTACCGCATCCTGCTAATATAACAGGAGATTCTTGAGATCATTTTAATTAAGGTGATTTTTCCTCAGCAAAAGTCAAGGCAACAATAATTTCCGTTTTATAAGCGATTTAAAAAGAAGGGCTTTTTGCAAACTAAAATTTATAGAGCGTTAAAACTACATTAGTTAATTTTAGATAGAATTTATACTTTAATAGAGATAAAAGAAAATTTTAATTTAAGGCTTAGTTACAAAGATATATATGATGGAAAAAAATGGAGAGAAACTTGCAAAAAATAATGACCTCTCCCGACATTTTCGCTGAGGAAAAATCATTTTCAAATGATCTCAAGAATCTGCAGGTGGTGCGGTAGATCTGGGACACCCTGTATATTCGGCAACATTTCGCGATAGAGATTCTAAACGCCAGACAGTTGGTAGCCAATTTTTTTCTGCATAACCACGTGTTTTATATGGCTATTAAAATTCACGAATGAACGCTTGCATCTCAGCTTACATGCATTGCAAGCTTATCTTTATCTTCTCTCGCTTCTTCCCGCTAAAATGAGAACGCTGATCGAAGGAGATGTCTATAATGGTGAGAGAGACGAGAACGCGAGCGCCTTTGTAAACTCCGGTTGGCGCGCGAAGCTGATCGGCGTGCGGCAAAACAAACGCGAATTTACTTTTGTTTGTCGACGGAAAACTGCGGAAAGAAAACAATAGCCGGGGAGGAAAAAGACGACGTGTTTGTGAACCGTGTATGATAGAAGCGCGACGTTGTCCGTACGGGTCACACAAACGTGCCATTTGCGCAATTTGCGACGCGGAAGAGGATTCTCTCTCTCTCTCTATCTCTCTCGTGGGACAGAACGGTGGTTAAGCTTCGTCGTCGATCGTGTGTCGGACATATTCATTCCGGGCGCGAAAATTTTTTTAACGCCGAGACGAGAAAATCTTGTCGCGCGACGCTTACTCGAAACGATTAAAGGAGAAGAGGAGCGAGTTGTGCCGGTTCGTGCACGCGGCACGAAATGAACGGTGATCGGTAATCGTCGCGAGATAAGAAAGAAAGGAAGAAAGACGCGACGAGATGGCCACAATAACGAGCACGACCTTCCCGAGAATGTTGAAGATATTGCGGGAAAACAATAATGTCAAGGAAAAGCGCGAGGTTTTAACCTATATCTCCAGGTAAACTATCATCAGTCCACTCCCGCGAAATTTCTTGCTCAGCATGACAGGAAACGAGAAAGGCGAGATATTGTGACCATTTAACGTGAACATTTATTTTATTTCACAAAATGGGTGGAATTAAAAAACCCCTTTGTGAGATAAATTAATGTCATTAGAAGAATCATTAGATATTAAATCTCCTCCATTCTATAATGCATTTTCTGCATTTATAATAATACTGAAGATTTAAAAAAAGAAAAAAAAAGGGAAAGAAAAAAATTATATAAAAAAAGTACATGACATATATATAGTGAATAAGTATGATCTTTTGAAGTTATAGGTTTAATTATTGCATTATTGCAGCTTGAATTATGCTATCGTTATTTATAGATTATTTATACACAAACACACATATGTATTTTTATACAATATATTATAAATGTCAAATAAAAATTTATAGTTATAAGATTCATAATTCACAACCTCAATGTGCTATTAGTATTATATATAGATTTGTACAGAAAAGATTGAATAGGTTTAGTATAAAATTATGTAAATGGAGCAGTATCTAAGATATATATTTATAATAGACATTGTTCAATATATATATTATTTAATAAACATTGCATTTGTGATGTGATAAAACATTTTTTTCGACACTTTGTAAAGAAAAGATCATTACATTGCAGTCAAGCTAAAAAATTAGAATCAAGTGGTGCTATTAAAGAAGAGCGCTACAAGGAGTTGTGCAGGCTGATCATAGAAGCATTTACAAAACATGAGGGAATTATGCAGAATGAGGCAGTAGGTGCACTTAATGCCATTGTAAAAGAATTCCAAGCGCATCCTTTACATCTTTTCGAATCAATGTTACAAACAGATAAAAGGACAAGGTTTGTTTTCTTAAATTTATATTGTAATAAATTTATGTACTCTAGAGATTTTAACAAGATATTATATTCTTGATTGATCTTAGATTAAAAATACTTAAGCTATTGGAGGTAGTGGAAGACAATGCTATTTCTGCAGCTGCCAATGATGGACAGGCTTTAAAATTTTTTAAAGATTGTATGGATAATGTGCAACCTAATTTAATGGAATGGTTAACACCAACAGCATGCGTAGATAATTTGCAAATGTTGACAAAAGTTGAACATCAACTCTTATCAGATGAACAAAAACTAGATGAGGATACAAACAGTTATGCGCTTATTCTTTTGAGAAGATTGTACAGATTGGCTGCCATAACATTTGATCAAAATGTTCAGAGGGTATAAACATGTGCACAAATTGTATTATGAATAATTTTTGAAATTATGATCAGAAAGGATTACATATATCAATTTTTTTTTAGTTTGATACATTACTAATGGAGAAGATTATAATACTGGCCTACATGGGACATAAGCGTCAGCGTGGTCCTGCTTTGAAAGTTTTGCAGCAAGCTATTGCAACTAACTCGTCATCACGTATTCGTAAAGATTATCCTGATTTATGGGCACAATATAAGACTAATTTACAATCCACATATTGTAAACGTATGTTGCTATTAGTAGCAGCGTGTGATCCAGATTGGACTATTCAATGGAATACTACTATCCAGTTCCTTGGTACTGATCTTCATCGTGGTGCTAGCCTCATAAATAATTTGCTGAGTGTTGAGGAAAAAGCCTTCAAGTCTACTGATCCTATTACACGAAGGTGAAACTATTACAGTTCTACAATTAAAAATTGATTATTATTATGTATCAAAAAAATAATATAGATTTGTTATTATATTGCAGACAAGCTTTCCTCTCATGGAGATTGTTGATTGACAATTTTGCTTTAGATCATCAAGAACTCGCCACTGCTAGAAGAATAAAGTTACTTTGTATTCCATTGAACACTAAGAACAGTAAAACCGAATTAATTGCATTAACAAAATTAGAAGTTTGGTGGCATTTAATTATTAAATTGTATAAAGATATTGCAAAATTTGCTACTCCTGTTATCACGCAATTTCTAAACTATTGTTTTGGACCACTTGGGGATACACCACTGCTTTCTTCCAAATTTGACGTTGTTGCCTCTCCGGGCAAAAGATTTTTTAAGACAAAAATCGTTGCTGTGGATGCTTTGTGTCAATTAGTTATCACAAAGGAAGATCTCTTTGCAGTTTGTGCTCCAATGTTAGAAGAAAGACTTTCTCATGCTATATCTGATGAAGTGTTTCAAGAATGTTCTAAAAGCATTATTCACAGTGTGGGAGAAGCCCTACTCATTCTCGGCCAACTTACAGATCAAGAAATGAAATATCGTTTTCAGCTTGGTAAAACATTGTGGGCAAACTTGATGATATACATAAAGAATATAAAACTTGAGATAAAGGTTATTAATAGATTTAATTTTTCTATTTTGTATAACATAAAATATCTATGTATTATGGCAAATGTATTATATGCCCTTACAGGACCATCTGTATAGAGATGTGATACTAGTCATAACTGAATTGGGAAACCATATAGATAAGATTATGGTAAAAGATATGATCTTCAATGTAATTTTACCAGATGTTAAGCACATTATTGAGAAAGCTGAATTTCATGATAACACATTGCCAGAATTGGTATTAAAACTTTTATCACCGCCACTACTTGATGAAGTGTCAAAGTATATCTTGTATGTATAAACTAAACTTGCTGAGATCATATTCATATTTCACAATATTTTATTTATATATTATATAATATCTATTTATTATTTCTATATTACAGAGACCATAATAGCGATGCAATTAAGTGCCTTCTGGAGCGATGTTTGAGCCCAGAATTTACATATTCCTCAGGTGTGCTTGGGTTTCTGGAAACAATAATCGAAAATCTAAAATCAATGATTGATGTACATAAAAATATGTAAGTCTAAAAAATTTTAATTATAATATATTCACATGTTTGATAATAAATAATGTATTACAGGACAGTTTACATCGAATTATGGTCTATAATAGTGCAGATATTAACAAAATATATGACAAACTGTGAAGCTATAAATGAAAATGAATATAATTTTAAAACTGTCAAATTGGTTTTATCACTTCCACTTCGATATACATGTCTGGAAAATCTTGAGCAGGTTCACATAATTTTATATAAACATTTTTATATATTACCACATGGCTTTATTTTGCAATAGTTTTTTTTTTTTTTATTGATAATTTTGCAGATACAAAATCAAGCAAAGGTATGGAAAGCTTTATACAAACAATACGAGTTACAATCAGATTCAATAAGTGCAGTGAAATCAAATGAAATCTTACTGGATACTGCAAATATAATGCGGGAATGTTTAAATACAAATAAAAATTGTTGTTCTTTTATTGTAAATTGCTTAGATGCTTTATTGAGCACCCTTGATTATGAATCTTTGTTAGGTATGTATAGTCAATTCTTATATTTTATATGAAATAATGCTTAGAATAATTGTAATACATACTCTGCATAATTCATGTTTCAGCTCAAGATGAAATTCCATCCATTGTACAACTCATACTAGATGTTATAACAATTTCGTTTAATAATACACAAAATCTTAATTCTGAAATAGCTCTGAAAATGTTATCAGCTATGCTTATTACTGTATATGGACACAGTCCACAAAAAGTAATATCATATCTGCATAGTTGTAAATCAGTGATCAAACTTATACTTACATCGCAAATAAAGGCACTTTTTAAAGAGGTATGATATCAACATTTTTTTTTATAAAGCATTTATTTTGATTTGCATTGTTATTTAGGTGCAATTAATATTAACGAACTTTTGTTTATAGGTTGCAAGCATGTGGGAGTATATAGTTAGTATTTTTAAAGGACTTAATAAACAATTGAATCACGAACTTTTATCGTCGTTCAAAGAAGCAATTATAATTGCAATGAATCATCCTAACCCAGCTCTAAAATCTTTGACACAATCTATTTTTGAAGTTCAAGATTGCTTGGATAGTACCGCTAAGTGCATTTTAGATGATATAAAAGAAACAATAGAGAAATCACATTCAAAATCTGATAGTATTACAAAGAAGAAAGTAGAAGCAGAACAAACAAAAGAGATACGTATAGCTGGGAGTTTCTTGAATAGAAAATCTGCTAATATAAAATCAGTATCCAGTAAACCACCAGAAAAGAATGATAAAAATACGCTTATACTACCTGAACCTGATTCGCAAGTAAATAATATTTATTATTTCATGTTGTGCACATATTATTTTTATATCTTTGTCTATATTAAAATTTATTTGTAGGATTATGTGTATATAAAAACAGATTTGAAATTTGATGTTAATCGTTTGACTGAGCATCAAAAAGAAAGTTTAAAAAAGAAAAGAGAAGATATACCAGCGTTATATAATGATCTTTCTCAATCGTCCTCACAAAATTCTCAGAACTTACAAGAATGGTTTGACAAAGTCAAACATATTAACGAAACAGATAAAACCAATAATAGAAAGAGCGACACTATAACTCAAAAACTTATCGATAATGACGCCAACAAGGAAAATAAGATTATGCAAACAAAGTCTGCTAATGTGGTAGATAAAGTAGTTGATACCCATAGTAGCGAATTGGATGTAAATATTGAAGAAAATATCACTGATACTAAGCAAAATGAAGATTCAATGAAAAAAGTTGAGACAGTGGATTCTAACGAAAAACAAGAAGAAAATACGGATATATCGAAACAAACAAATTTGGCTACACATACAGCAACTTTCAGTGAACAAAATACTGCATCAAAAATGGATGAAGAAAGGGATGCTAAAATCACAATAGCATCTATTACAAAAAAATTAAATTTTGAATCACGAGAGGAATTTCCTGAAGATAAAATGCAAGAACGACAATCATCTCCTTCGATGTTAGATAGTATCAAACGACGACATCGTAATAGCATAACAAAATTAAATTCATCATTAAAAAGTGATGAAGCTGTTGAAAGTCAAAAAGATCTAAATGCGACAAATGTACAAAGAACGCTGAGAATGAAGATTGCTCAGGAAAAACCTGGTACAAGTAGTAAACAAAAGTCAGACGATGACATTGATATTAAAGAAAATTCTAATGAAAATAAGAAAGGTACTAAGCGTAAATACATGTCGGATACTGAATCGGACGGAATCATACAACGTCGAAAGCGAAAAGGTTTTAATGACGATAATGGTGAAACATCACGAGGCAGTGACTCCTTGGACATAGATATGGACAATGTGAGTCAACGTGTGAAAAATGAAATGACTCGTTTAAAAATCGACATGGTATTTGACTGTCCTGTGGTCAATCGTCGTCGATCTAAACATTCGGATGAAGGAGAAAAAGAAACAATACAGGAAATTGATGCAGGAAAGAAACATGGATTAAGGAAATATGGGACACCTGACAATAAGACTTTTAAACTGAAGTCTCTAGATGCGAAATTTGTAGAAGGATCAAAAAGATTTCCAAAAACGCAGGAGAAGAATACAAAAGATGCAGATGATACAGATCAAGGAGTATTTAAAAGACGAGGTAGAAGAAGTACAAGACAGGAGTCTAATAAGAATGATTTAGACATTAATAAAGAAGTTAAAAAATCCAGTGATACTATTGACAAGGTACCTGAATTGAAAAATTCGGACACAGATATGACAGACATAGTTCCAACGTCCAGCCAAGCAATACAAGATATTGTAATTAATAGAGCTCAAGATGAAAGACCTGATGCAGATAATTCTAAATTTACCAGTTCGAATGTAGAGTCCTTAGAATTTACTGAATTAAACAAACAGAGTCAGGATGAAGTTGAAGATTTTGTAGAAAGTTCACAAATTCCTAATATTGATGTAAAATTAGATAAAATATGTGGCGAGAAACAGTGTTTTATTAAAATTAATAAAATGGAGAAAGTTCAATCTATTAAAGCTCCTGATATGATTATGGAAAAAAATTATGTACCTGAATCTATCTCCATGGATTGTGACGATAATGTTGTACCTGATCCATGTGAACAATCGAATGAAGCTAATCCTAACAATAATACAGAAATGAACGATGAAGGAAATAAAGATAAAGATAGTATAAGTAAAGACTTGATTCAGGAAACTAATAGTTCCAATATAAAGATTATAATCCCAGAAGATCAGAAGACAGTCGATAATTCGTCATCGATCAAATCTACAAGTGTAACTAGTTTTTCTTCGCCGAAAAGCAGTGTTAAAGTATTTTCTAAACTTAAACCATTCACAGGACGTGCTGCTCATATGCTAGGTTTAGTTACAAAGCAAGCACAACTCGAAGGTGACAATCCAGCTATTGTATTAGAGGATGAATCATCTTTAAAAAAATTAAAATCCAAGGATGCAGAGAATGATACAAGTAAAAAGACTTTAGCAATTAAAGAGATCGATAAAATAGGCGGACCTTCTGGCAGTCGACAAGAAAAGATTTTCAGCAATATGAGATCAGCCGATTATTGTATATCTCCATCGACACACACATTTACTACTTTGAAAAACGATGGCGAGAAACTTTCATTTAAACTGGACAAGAATACATCAGACTATTTATCAATGGAAATTTCAGTTGACAAAGGAAACGAAGGAAATGCATCATCTTTATGCGAAAAAGACGATCTACCAATATTGGAATGGTCAAGCGCTAATCCACCTTCATTAACCGCATCACCGAGTGCTAGTATTCTTAAACGTCAACGATCGAGCGTACCAGAACCGGATCTAGATTCTTCAACTCCTAACAAGGTATTTTCTGCAGTTTATTTTATATTATTATATATGTATATTTTAAGAACATATATACAGAGAGACACTTCTAAATTAAGAATTATTTTTGATGTTATCACACATAATGTTATCATGATAAAAAATCTTGTGTTACATATATTAATGTTTTTCTCTTACTATAAATTTTCTCTTTCTTATATATATATAGATTTATGAAACATATTTAAATATTTTTATTATAGCGAAAACGAGTGAGCTTTGCAGATCCACCAGTATCAAAAGAAATGGGTTATGAAATATCAAATACAGAATTTCCACAAAAAACTAACAAATATTCTATAGCACGTAGCCCCATACCAAGAAAGGATTCTCCACTTAGGTTCAAACAGACCAAGCTTAAATTTGTACCAATAGATGCAGAAAAAGTAATAACTGAAAACGATTCTCAAAATGAAAGTGACACTGAAGCTGTTTTGGAAGCCGAGAAGAAAAATGAGTCACTAATAAGGATATCTGAAGCGAATTCTGAAACTATGGATATAGATAAGCCAGTATCTGGCGATTTTCTAGAAAATGATAATGTTAGCGATAACGTTAGCGATAACGAAGCAAATACTTGCGCGAGAATAAAAATCGACGAAGAATTAGGAATAGCGCAGGAAATTGAAATAACTGCGGTTTCAAATGCCCCTTCTGTCCCGGAAAATCAACAGATCTTATCTTCTAAAGATTCTGAGCAAAACCCTATTGACACTGCATCAATGGACTGCGTGGGAATAGAAGATTCCGAAACGCAACAAGATATCTTTGACGGAATGGATACGACAAATAATATTGCACCAATCAAGATGAATAACGATGACATTAATATATCCGTACAAAATAATTCGGTTGATTCTATTAAACTGAACGTGATCAATGATTCTGTGATAGCGGCTTTATCTACCAAAGATGACAATACGACAAGTATGGAAGATACTGTAGATATCCAAAATATCACCGAATTTAATTCCACTGTAAATACAGATGAGATATTCTGTGGAAAGCTTATACGTACTAGTACAGAGACAACGGAAAACGTAATGGAACAGGATACTTTATCGGTAACGGACTCAATATTTGCGAGTTTACCGTTAACTCAAGATTCTACTCAAAGCCAGGAGGCTCAGAATAATGTGGAACCTGATCCCGAGCTTCTGGATTCTACGCTGCCTATTTATCCAACATTGTCATCGTGTATGGAGCCCATCGACACTATCATTGAACAATTGACTTATCCTCTTTGGAAAAAGAATTTGTGTACATATCTCGCGAATAGAAGTTTGCACACAATCGGTGATTTTGCCCAATTATCGGAACGCGAAATTAACAGAATACCCGTGAAAGGTAAATCAAAGACTGAATTCGTGAAGAAAGTGTTAGAACATTTTGAAAGTACATGCATGCTGCAAGCAGAATCTTCTGATATCGAGTCGAATGTTAAAGTACAATCGCCGATCATACCGATGGATGAAACACCAATTGTATCAACCATTGCTCTTTCGCTATCTGTTGTCGAAACGGAATCTGCGATAGACGACAATAAATCCTTAAATTGTAGTGTGTCGCTTAATCAATCTACCGGAGATGTTTCCGATAATCTGCCAAGAGAAATGTCACCTATGGAATGTTTGGATAAAACAGAGTCTATCAGTGATATGGATATTTCATCGGAACCCATATATTCTAAAAATTCCAATCTATCAGTATCAGAAAACGAACAGACAAGTGTGAAAGAACCAATCACTGTTGAAAGTTCGTCTAAAACATCCACAGATAATGTTAAATCCGTGCCAATTGCCTCATCCTCCAAAATCATGTACGTAATTATCTATGTTCTTATATAAAATATTAAAAAAAAATTATATACTTGTACAATTTTTATGTTTCTTTTTATATTTTTTATAGTACTGTGAGTGAAGTAGTATCATCTTCAAGTGCTAGCATGGACACACCGAAAGGTCATGCTAAATCGTCAAATGTATATGACGAACTTCTCATTACGCACTCCTCCGTTGGCACTAATACCGAGGAAACTGGTTCCGCGACGCCGAGTGTTCAAAAAGTCACAAAATCCGTTGAGTCTCAGATGGCGCTTGCGGAATTATTGGATGAAATTGATGTAAATCTGGTATTAGAAAGCGCGGTCAGAAGATGCAGTCCCGAGGCAATTCTTTTACAATACAAGGTAAATTTTGTTCAACTTATATCGATTACACTGGTATTATCAGATAAATGAGCAGAAAATTAATCTTCAGGTAAAGATGGCACATTTGAAAGAAAAAGAACTAGTGAAGGAAACTATTAGAATGCTCGGTTTGCAAGACAAACAGCAAGTCAACGATGCATCGTTAAAAGCAGCCTGCCGTGCATGTGGCGTCAATAAAGTCCTCCTTAGATTGCCCGACATCTTCAGTTATGATAAACAGTTTTTTGATAAGGTGCTTAAGGTATATAGTAAGAAACTTAGCATAGCTGATTGTTTGAACGTTTTCGATTTTAATCAATTGAAAAGCGCAATCTGTCAAAAATGCACATCGTCTGACCTCGTTGAGATGCTTTCGGAAAAATTGAAGCGAGAAGACCAAGACGGTATCAAGCAACCCATGACAGAATTATCTAGTTTGGACGCTATGCTAAAAAGATTGCCGATGGATGTGATCATTAGTCATACTGTAGCGAACGAGGAGCTTATTCCGGCGTCGGTAATTCTGGACATAGCTTTGCAGAATAATAGCTCGGGAGATATAGCGCAAGCATTAAAGCAATCCCCTGTTTTGGCTAGACGCATCTTAGACAAACTGTGGACATCTCAATTTACGATCGCGCATATCGAGAATAGTGAAGTATCCAAAGAGAGTTTGCTTAATATTTTTAAAAGCGTGTGCTCTAAACTGACCGCGCAAGAACTGCTACACGCGTATCACGAAGCTATGACAAATAAGCTCATCACAAAGAAAGAAAATGAATAGACTGGATTAGAGATTGAACCTAGAACTTAGAGTTCTAGGTTCAGTATCAAATAATATGACTGATGTTTGTAGAAATATTGACGCGTCTCATATATCCAGAAACTAGTTATTCTCACACTTATTTCATTTCTATAAAATTCATAATTTGACTTAATTATGACAGTCATGAATGTTTTCATTTGCGTCACGTAATTAATGATAGCGCTTGTTCACTATATTTGTTTTGTAGTTGTTACCATTGATATTTTAATCAATTTATCTGTAAGTATTCATCAAGTTTATTAAATGATATATTTGTCATAATTGTAAAACATTGATGTATTAGAAGTTACATTAATCCTCGCAATACCAAGCCATGTTTCATCGTATATGTTATATAGTGACGGGATTATTTATATCGTTATACCTTTTTTTTTTTTTTCAAGCAAAATTGATTTGTTTGTATAGAATAATTAATAATTGTAGAAGAGAAATGATGCGAATGTTTTTTTAAAACAAAAAAAAACTTTCTTAAACACAAATTAACAAAAAAGATAATCAGTATTTTCTTATTTTTTATATACTTGTTATTTAACTCCTTTCCATTTTCTCTTTTTCTTTTACTCATAATTCTTATTTTTTTTATTTATATTTTATTTATTACTGTATTTAAATTTAAATTACTGTATTATTTTTTCATAGATGTATCTAGAGTGGAGAGATGTGGGTATTCAATTACATCTCTTGCTAATTTTCAATCAAGTCATTACTCTGTGTTTCAAAACATTTTGAATTTTATATTCAAAGTTATATAATCTTGAAAGTCTTCATAGAGGCCTTGAAAGTTTTGATTGGTCTTGAGTGATTTCTTAAGTATCGATAAAAATTTTGTTTCAACATAAATAATTTTTGTTTAAATAAAAGTTTTTTTAATGATAAATTGTTATATATTTATTTATAATATCCCAATATTTCTAAATTTTCTTTCTCTGGAAGAAAGTTTATTAAAACGTTTTTTAAGATACTAAAGATCTTTAAGACTTTCAAGATTGTATAAACTTCGAATAATATTCAAACTGATATGAACCGAATTTCTCACAATATATTAGAATTTAATACAAAGTATCTTGATTTCCATTACTAGGTGTATCTTGCGTATTGATTTTAAATTATTTCCTTGGTTTTACATTGTATTATTTATAATATATATTTTTCAAGATTTGTAAATTTTGTTAAAAATCTTCTCTTTTATGCATACAATTTATATCTTTCTCTATCTCTTTTTCTAAAACAAAAAATAATAATTTAATTAGTATAACTTAGTATATCTTTCAAAAGTTTAAATCATATAAAAACATTATAAAACAAGCAAATGGTAAGCGCAAAATATATCTTTGTTGGTATTGCGAAGGTTAAGAACATAGTTATTTTTCAGTCAATTATGCCATATTGCAGTACAACTTGTATATTTGCATATTGAAGTAAAATTTCTCGCTACTTAGAGATCTATTTAAAGTACATTAAAGTTGATACAAAAAAGAATGGACCATAGAAATTTAAGATTTTTACATTTTCGAGTTTGATTGAATTTATACAAGGTGTCCCGGACCACCTGCTAATGGCAAATTCTTGAGATTATTTGGAGACGATTTTTCCTCAGCGAAAATGTCGAGAGAGATCATTATTTTTTGCAAGTTTCCAATTTTTTCCATCATATATCTTTGTAACTAATCCTTAAATTAAAATTCTCTCTCTCTCTCTCTATTAAAGTAAACTCTATTTGAAATTAAATAAAGAATGTAATTTTAATTCTATATAAAATTTAGTTTGTGAAAAGCCCTTCTTTTTTAATCGCTTGTAACACGGAAATTATTGATGCCTTGACATTTTTTGCTGAAGGAAAATCGTCTCCAAATGATTCTAAGAATCTGCCATTAGCAGGTGGTCCGGTAATTCTGGGACACCCTGTATATAGTCACAATTTTGAATTTTTGCTTTGTCTTTTAGTGCTTGGAAGTTCTCAACTTTCAAGATTTTTCTTTCCACAGTTATTTCGTACAATTAGTAATGTTACATTTGTTAATTTGTGGAAATCGAAAAATCTATTTTTTAATATTTTTATTAAATTATTAAGAACAGAATGAAATTTTGAACTGATATATCGTGTTGCGTTGTTCCCGATCGAATATAACAATTGCCATTTTTAGAAATAAGTATCCTATGAAACACTAAACGCAAACAATTATCAATAATTATTTATTTCTTTGAAGAAAAATTCTTTTTATTTATGAAATATATATTGCACGTCAATTTATATAGATCTTTGCATTGTGATCATCCTAAACATTTCCTTTGTCTTTTTTTTTTTTTGTTATAGAGATATTTCGGAGGAGAAGAGGGGTTGTGAAACAAAAGAGCGAATCTTAATAATAATTTTTTTCAGAATCACAGCTTGTGAGATAAAAGAACATCTCTTAACATTTTTTGATGGTTAAGATATCTCAACATTGCAACATTAATTAATGCAAATTATGTTTACGTTTGCATCAGACAGTAATTTGATTCGTATAATCTATACCTTTTAAGCATTCAATTATCGGTGAATTGAATAAATTTATTTGTGATTTTTGTGTCGTAATTCTATTAATTAATTCTTTTCTGGTGTCGAGTTCGTACACAACACACGCACCATACATTTACAAACTTAAATACTTCAATGATTAACCGACCAGCTAATCAGTTTTTATGAGTCTAATTATGTATTATTGTAAATATATATGTACGTATATCACACTGACATATTGATGGACGATCAATATATTCACTGATTAATATGCTTTTTATTATCGTCTATTATACCTAATGCAACTGTATGAATACAGTCATTTTTACGAATGAGTATGAGGAACTGAAAAATCAAAGTATGAAACCTGCAAATTATAGTAATTTATATATGCAAGAATATGTATCGATGAAGTGAAATATATTGATTAATCTTTTCGAACGAAAATAAAGGATGGTATCTTGTAGTTTTAGTCATGCCTGTGATTAATACATGCAATTATTCATTATAGTGATTGTATAATCGTATAGATTAATTAATACAAAGAGCGACAATGAATATCCTGTAACTTTTTTTCGATTTTCCTTATGATAGCCCACTGAAAATTTTATGCATACGTAGAGAGTGTAAATGTCTTCTATAATAATAAAATGATATTTTATACGAACTATAAACCAAAAAAAGTTAACTTTGTTCAATATGTCTTTGTAGCACCTGTTTAAAGTATTCATTTTCGGCTTGTTTCAGTATCCATTAACCATCGCCTGGTTATTCAATCTAATTTTTATTATGAAACCAAAAAATGTTGAACGAAAGTATATAGGGCAAGCTTGCTTTATTATATTTACAAGTAGCATATTTATATTTCTCTCGACGATATGACTTTCTAAATTAACATTTTACGTTTTGCATTTATGATTTTCTTTTAATATAAATAAATAAATTCTTTTAATATAAACATATTAGATTTTTTAAATATAAATAAATAAGATCTTTTAATATAAATAAATTAAAAAATAAAAATAAAAAATATGTAAAGTGCGCAAGGGAAAGATACAAAGCTGCTTTGTGAAATAAAATATATAAAACAATTCATATAGTTTTCTATATAATATTGTAAATTCAAACGATATTTTATTAATAATTATTTAGTACACAAATTTTTATAATTTAATTATGTTACCGTCAATTTTTTATATAGAACGTAATTCTCTATTATTAAGTTTATCAATTCATATTCTATTAGAGTATCTATGTTGGCTCTATGAACATAGCAATTTTTCAAATTATGCAATTGCATTCTATTTTTAATCGTATCGAGAGAAAAAGGTGATCGAGCCTACTATTTGCTTTCTATTTCCTGTTTACATATTCGGAATATCGATCTTATAATATTCGCAGTGACAAATATACACGGTTAATTATAGTAGAAATTCTAGATTCCCAAAAGACTGTATCAAAATACGATCCCACGGACGTCACAAGACTATATGATATCTCGGTTCTTATTGCAAGTCCCATGGTTCGCCACGATTGACGATGTAATGAGAATTTCTATTCGTATTTTATTTTTTATTCTGTCCCCTCGAGCAAACTCGTAAGATACATTTTCACTTCAAGATTATATTAGCGAATATTTCAATTATGTATAGAAATAGTTATACAAATTTTTATATTTTTAGAGTGACTAATTAAATTTCACCCAATATCATGCGATAATATCGGAAAAAACTCTTATCGTTATTAATATTTTTATACAGCGTAACTTACTTATTGTTAGAATAGATATTATATACAAAAGTTTATTAAGCTAGCTTAATAAATGCTATAGTAATAGCAGCAATAACGTCATTCTTAAAAAAACTACATATTTCTTTTTTCTCTGATTCACTCTATATAATCTTGCTATTTCTATAACTATATTGTACCTATGTTATATTACTAAGATTTTAATTTCATGTTATTTATGATTTCTATTTTTGATTCACATATACACATAAAAATCATACTATGAACTTTTAGGAAAATTAATTTAGCAAATGGACAATTAAAAAGGATTGAATTATAATTATAATTGTATTAAAAATTTTATGAATAGCTGGGAAAGTAAGTTTTATTACGGTTCAAGCAATAATAAACACTGTAGAAAAAACAAACTCAATCTCAACGAAAAACTGAAGCTTAAAAAAGAACAGTGTTATTTTTGAAATGCCAAGCATGCAATTTTTTCCCAGAGAAGAATTACACAGATCTTAATTTGTGCGACATCGAAATAAATTATTGCAACATGTTTTAATACGATCATAGTTATATGAGTAATTTATTTTAAATAATAATCATGATTTTTTGGTATGAAAGTTGTAATCAAATTGCATTTATAATAGTATTTGAAACTCGTCGAAATCTGTATATCTATAATATTATAGACATAATAACGATATTATTTGAAAAATTTTATTAAAACTTTAGCATTGAAATATGAAATCATGTATTGTTTCCAAAATGTTTGATTTCTAACAATATAAAAGTATGCAATTTTCGCTACCATTATAGTAAACGGCGAATACTTTTAATTCTTTTACACGTTTTTATAAGATTTTATACATTTATCTACAATATATAGAAACGCGTGTAAAGTAGCAGAAACTTTCCAATAAAGTGCTACTTCGAATGGAGTAACATTATAGCCAAATACTTTTTTTCGTCGACATGCAATAAACGTGAATTGCAACATGTTTTAATACGATCATAGTTATATGAGTAATTTATTTTAAATAATAATCATGATTTTTTGGTATGAAAGTTGTAATCAAATTGCATTTATAATAGTATTTGAAACTCGTCGAAATCTGTATATCTATAATATTATAGACATAATAACGATATTATTTGAAAAATTTTATTAAAACTTTAGCATTGAAATATGAAATCATGTATTGTTTCCAAAATGTTTGATTTCTAACAATATAAAAGTATGCAATTTTCGCTACCATTATAGTAAACGGCGAATACTTTTAATTCTTTTACACGTTTTTATAAGATTTTATACATTTATCTACAATATATAGAAACGCGTGTAAAGTAAGAGAAACTTTCCAATAAAGTGCACTCTGCTACTTCGAATGGAGTAACATTATAGCCAAATACTTTTTTTCGTCGACATGCAATAAACGTGAATATTAGCCGCGTTGCAATTCTGAAACTTGACTCTCTCAGCGTCCTTTTTTCCCCTCGCGAAGTATCCGTGGAATGGCCTGTTTCACCATCGCGTGGGATCTGTGCGTGTCCCATCATCGACGAGAGGAAGGGAAAAAAGCAGATAGGCGCGACTACGTATACGTCGTATGTGGGTGCGCTATGGCGAGGAGAGCGCTAGAGGGTGGAACGCCTGCGCCGGTTGAAATGCACCCTATATAAGAGGCAACACGTTCTGAAGAGATACTCACATTTGGAAGCTTGCGTCGCGACGGACAGGTTGATCAACTTCCGAGAAGATGGGGTTCACTAAAAACTACCTCGTAAGCCTATTCCTCTACATCTCCATCGTCAACGAGATTTGTCAACCTGCAGTGAGTCATTTCTCTTTTATACGTACTCTTCTTCTTGCAATATATGGATTATCTCTATAATGCCAGAATTGAAATCTAGCGATTTTATTTAAATATACTTTCGCTATAAGATAGATATAATTAATATTGGATAATTTTTTATATCAATTTAAAAATATTTGAAATTAAAATCAAATTTAATCAAGCGACGCGGTAGCGTCGCGACGCCAAGTATATATAAAAATTCGTTCCAGCTTGTCAACGGTTTGCCTATGTACAGGGGCTGCGACGCTACCAAGTAGCTTATCCGGAATTTTAGGTCTAGTAAACTTTTATAATATATCCTGAATTTTCATAGTTTCTGTTGTTACATGTTTCTTGATTAATATCAAGTCAAATTTTCTTTTAAAAAATTTGGGATATTAAAATATTAAATTAATATATTATATTACTTTTTAATTTTTGACATAATTAAATTCAAATTCAAATAAATATAATCTATTATGTCCGATATTTAAATTTAAATTAAATTTTAGTTTAAAACGAGATTTGCTTAAAAATATATGACAAATATTTTGTCGATATCGCTTTTCTTAAAGCTCGCGTGAAGATTTCTGGTTATTGATAAATAATATGAATTATGAAAGCATTTTAATCATATTTCAATTCTTCCCCTCTCTTCTCTTCATCTCTT